GCACAGTTTCTGGAACACAGTAGTTTCTAATACATATTTGTTGAGTTAATGAATGAAAGCTAAAGCAAATTAGAATGTAAATGAATGGCAAAAACATTTATGGAATCATTCAAATTATCCAGAAACATTTAAGATTTACTCAGAATTATTGAGTAGCGGATATATTAGAAATCAGAAAGCACCTTTTGATCTAGAAATGTTGTGAATCTTATCCTCTAGAAAGAAAACTCTTGAAGATAGTCTGTTGATTTCCTGTGTAAATACTTCCAATTTCAAGGTACCAACCTGGCATCACTGAACATAGAGCTAGAGACCCAATTGGCTCTGACAGCCAGGATGAGCTGGCTCCACACACCACTGGGTTTATTGTTAATAGCTGATAATTGTAGAGCTTTAACCCAGCAGTAAGTAATCTGACTCAGAGAAAAGTAATCATATTCAGTCCTGCTTCACAATCTTACTCCAAAGACTGGTAGAGGTATATGTAGTTTTATTGCAACTCACTTTGTTGCTTTCTATAAATACTGCTTTTTCTTTCTTTCCTTTTTTTTTTTTTTTTAAACAAATTGAAGACTACACCAGCAAAAGGATTAGGACTTGCTGAAATCTCAGATGATGGTTAGCAATTTCTAGCAATAAAGTATTTTTAAGGTATTACTTTTTAAGACATAATGCTATTGTACGCTTAACAGAGTATAGGAGAGTGTGAACCTAAATTTATATACACTGGGAAATCAAACAGTTCATGTGACTCACTTTATTGTGCTATTTGCTTTGTTGTGGTGGTTGGGAACCAAACCCCCAGTGCCTCCAGGGTATGCCTGTATGTGATTTCAGTTGGTATGATAAAATAGTTTGTAATTAGAGCTGGATACAGCCCTATCAAAATTCTGGGAGCCCAAGCTCCAAATCATTAGGGTAAAAAGTGTACACACTGCTGAAAATAAATTTGATTTATTTACTTAAATATATGAATGTTTTTGGCTTTTAAGGGTGAAAGACTAACTGCCCCCCTGCATCCTTCTAATGAAATTATAAGCAATTCAATGGAAGGAGAAACCACTGACTACATTCATGTATCTTCTTAGGAACCTGTCAAAAATACTTTGTCATATACAGAACTGGGTTCAATAAAAACTTTGTTTTTATAAAATCAAAACCTAGTGCAGTGAAGAATCCATTTTGGCCACTTGGACAGAGTTGGCACTATGTTCACACTAGTCTGTGGTCTTCTATATCTACACACAACACGAACTCTGACCTCCTGAGTGAGGTGAAGAGGAATTAGCAAAGGGAGGAATGGAGAAGTGCGGTCTGTGGTCAATAACTAAGTGGCTAACCTAACACAGGTGAAGAAATGGTCACTAACAAGGCATATTTCACATCCTTAGTGTTATGGACATGAATCGTGGCAGTGTTGTGTTTCTCCAAAATTCATATATTGGAACCTTAATCCCCAATGAAGTGGTGGCCTTTGGGAAGTAAGTCATGAGGTTGGAATCCTCATCATGGTTTTAGTGCCCTTGTAAGAGCAAAGACAAGAGAGCTTGCTTTTCAGCCTGGCTAGTTTGCTCAGTGGTTAGAGGGTCAGCCCACGGACTGAAGGGTCTGGGGTTTGATTCCTGGTCAAGGGCATGTATGTGGGTTGCAGGTTTGATCCCCAGCTCTGGCTGGGGGCGCTTGTAGGAGGCAACCAATCGATGTATCTCTCCCTTCCACTCTCTAAAAAAATCAATGGAAAAAATAACCTCAGGTGAGGATTCACAAAAAAAAAGAAAAAAAAGAGAGAACTTGCTTCATTCTCTGCTGCTCTCCATCATGTGAGGATACAAGAAAGCAGCTCTCTGCAAACTAAGAAGGGGGCCCTTACCAAGAACTGAATCCACCAGCAAGCACCCTGCTCTTGGACTTCCTGGTCTTCAGAACTGAGAAATAAACTCATTAAAGCCACCCAGTCTACAGTGATGTTACAGCAGACTAAGGCACTTAGGGGACATAATTTTAACCCCAATAATTTAACTTGACTATTGAAGTACTGTACTTTATTATGAGCTTATGAATTTTTAAAAACTCAGCACAAGTGAAATAGATATATAAGAATGCTCACAAGTGTTCCAACGGAGAAAAATTAGAAATAATTCAGCCCAGCTGGCATGGCTCAGTGGTTGAGCATCGACCTATTACCAGGTCATGGTTTGTGGGCTTGATCCCCTGTGGGGCATGCAGGAGGCAGCCAATCAATGGTTCTCTCTCATCATTGATGTTCTAGCTTTCTCTCCCTCTCTGAAATCAGTGAAAAAAATAACCCAATTATTCAAAAGAAAGGGACTATTTAAATTATGGTACATAGATTTGATGACATACGGTTATTTTTCAAAAGAAACATGTTTACAGGGGTTAAGGGTGGAGAAAGGATTCCAAGTTTATATATGAAGTATGCTTCCAATTTTGACTTAAAAATAATTATCTGCATACTGAAATTAAAGAGGATTTTTTTTTCATTCTAATTTTCCTACTTTCCAAATTATCTACAAACATGTTTTATAAGAAAAGTGAAAACATTTCAAATTTGGAAAAGGTTAAACCATTTAACACATGAAGAATTCTTTGAAAAGTATGTGACTTCAATGCTTTAGTTTTCTCGAATTTCTAAGTTAACCCACTTATTTTGTTGAAACTTGATAGTCCTCACATTACAGCCTGTGTTCAGTCAAGTTGCTCTACAGAACTTTGTGTCATTAGAGCCCTGCCATGATAATGCAGGCTTTTCCTCCACAGCTGTTACTTAAAAATGACATCTCAAGCCTAGAGAAAATTAGTTTACAAAACAAGTAACTGAGTTTACATTTTAAGGCATTGTTTTGTTATTTTTAAAGTATTCATGTTTATTTTATTTTTTCCAGAAAAAAAATTATTTTTCAATTATAAAGTATCCATTTTTAGATTCTTATACCACACTATAGACGATCACAAAACAGGTCCAAGCAGTATCTATCAGCATCAGTCAGAAGAAATGAGATGTTACTCTACTTCAGAATCCAATGCTTTTCAATGATATCCCTATTAAAAATGTTTATATTGTGATTAAACATTACCCAAAATAACTGTATTGTTCTGGCTGCTTAACAATTCAATTGGAAGACATTTGGGGAAAACTTTTATCAGTCATCTGAGATGATGTTAAAGGGACCTCAGCTATCATCTCTTGTGCTGAAGTATTTATTGGGAGTCCATTCAATCTCAACTCCCTAAATACTAGTACAAGTGCAATTCTAATGGATAGTATTACACAACTTGTGCGCCTCACTGCCCTCATTTGAAAAATGGGAATAAAGGTGTCACAGGGTTGTTGGGAAGACTAAATGAAGTGCTTTGAAGTGTCAGGCACAGGGCAAATGTTAGGTATCACTACGGAGATGCTATCAAGTATTGTTAGAAAGAAATTAACTGAGTTCAAATGACAGCCTAGCCCAGGGGTGGGCAAACTTTTTGACTCGAGAGCCACAATGGGTTCTTAAACTGGACCAGAGGGCCGGAACAAAAGCATGGATGGAGTGTTTGTGTGAACTAATATAAATTCAAAGTAAACATCATTACATAAAAGGGTACAGTCTTTTTTTTTTTTTTAAGTTTTATTCATTTCAAACGGGCCGAATCGGGCCTGCGGGCCGTCGTTTGCCCACGGCTGGCCCTAGCCAACTTACTCTACTCTGCAAAATGCTGATCAAAAATCATGTCTACCAAAGAAATTAGCTGGCAGCGTGGTTCAAGGCCAGATTTCTACCTTTTTCCTTCTTTAGAAAAGGGCACCGACCAGCTGGTGTGGCTCAGCGGCTGACCTTTGACCAGGCCCTGGCTTGTCAGGGCACATGCCAGGGTTGTGGGCTCAATCCCCAACAGGGGGCATGATTCTCATTGTTGATGTTTTGATCTCTCCCTCCCACTCTGCAATCAGTAAAAATATGTATTTTTCTAAGGGCACTATTATAAAAAAAGAAATGTTTCTCTACACAAGACATCAGGCCAGTAATTGCAATGTCTAGAGCAGTGGTTCTCAACCTTCCTAATGCTGCGACCCTCTAATACAGTTCCTCATGTTGTGGTGACCCCCAACCATAAAATTATTTTCGTTGCTACTTCATAACTGTAATTTTGCTGTTATGAATCATAATGTAAATCTCTGATATGCAGGATGTATTTTCATTGTTACAAACTGAACATAATTAAAGCATAGTGATTAATCACAAAAACAGTATGTAATTATATGTGTTTTCCGATGGTCTCAGGTGACCCCTGTGAAAGGGTCGTTCGACCCCCAAAGGGGTCGCAACCCACAGGTGAGAACCGCTGGTCTAGAGGAAAAGGGTCAAAATGCACAGAATTCTCTAGCTACAGAATTTCTAGATTTCTTGGCTTGTGCAAGTAGCCTAGGATTGATTGGAAGCTTGGCATGACTTGAGGCAAAAGTAGGTTTACAGTTGTGACCACATGCGTTTTCTTGTATTACTTTCCACAGGAACAAATCTGTATACTGGGGTCTATAATTTTAATGTTCTGATCTGGATTATAAATCCAACATAAATCTGAATTTGAATTTTACTATACCATGACATTAAAAGTTTTATACTCAGGAGCTCATTTTTGCTGATAGTTTCCAGTTCTCCAAAATAGACCCGTTTGAAAGTAAACTAAGAAATAAGAGGGTTCAATGATATTAAGAATGGTTCCATTCCAAATAACTTTAAACACTGTGGTTTCTGCTCTATGAATTCTGATGAAGGAGCTACTATGAAAATGATCCAAGCAGTCTTTAAAGAAGCATTCAGATATAAGGGCTACTCTTCTCAAAAGGCCTTGTCGCCTCGAGTTAGCATAAGAAAATTCTAGCGACCATTAACCTCCCACTACTGTCATTTAGAAAAAGTAGAAATCTAGGTATCAGAGGGTCCCCAGATAACACACAGAAACAAAACCTGTATATTAACAAATTACAAGATAAATAACAGAATGAGACTTTTGTTTTTATTACTCAAAAAAGCTTCATTTTTTAATTTATTTGGCTTTCTGACTCTGTGCTTGTGCCTTCAACACTTTCACAACGATTTTCTGCTCCTCAATAAGGAAAGCACGCTTGATCCTACAAAGGAAAATGTTAAATGAATATAGTTAAACCCAAATAACGATTTAACAAAGGCAAGAAAAGTACCTGCAAAGATTTAAAGCTATGAGGGAAGATACTCAAGAACGAAAATAAAACCCCCAAGTACGAATTAAAAACTGACATTATATGGACAGACCCTGTTGGCCTAAGGTCTCCTTCCCACAGTGGTACCACCCTCCTCTTTGGAGTCACGGTAAACTGTGAAATCACACCCACAGGAGCCGGCTCTCTGCCACTATGGTAGCTTTCATTTAACCAGGACTAATGACATTACTTGATTTGTAAAGCGTCTTAGAATGTTTTAACCACATTATTGAAAATTTCCAGTGAAAGCACAGGAGTAATGCGCTAGGAACCAAAATGAAGGGGTAAAAGGTATTAGCAAGGGGTCCTTTATCAAGAGCAAAGATTCTCGACGAGAGCCTGACTGGAGCCAAGGCTACCCTTTACTGGCTGTGTGATCCTGGGCAGGTTACCTTCTTGTAGGCTCAGGAATAATTCATACCTATTTCAGGGTTTTTATAAAGCTTAAATTTGGAAGGACTTGCAATTTCTGTACTTAGAACCTCTATTTAGAGATAAATTTAAAAAATACATATATTGATTTCAGAGAAAGGAAGGGTAAAGAGAGAAACAATGATGAGAATCATTGATCGGCGGCCTCCTGCAGGCCCCCTACTGGGAATCAAGCCCACAACCAAGGCATGTGCCCTTGACGGGAATCGAACCTGGGACCCTTCAGTCTGAAGGCAGACGCTCTATGCACTGAGCCAAACCGGCTAGGGCCAGATAAAGTACATTTTTGTCAATCGTTACTTTTAGTGTATAGAACGTGGCAAATAGCAGGTACTACATCGTTTGTTAAATCCAAGCTACCTCACTTACTTCCCACAGAAATCTGTCCCACCAGTACTCTCTAGTGGTACCTCTGGTTACCTACTAGCCTGGACTCAAAACCCGGGATTTCTGATGTAATCACATCACAGAAATACAGTTGATGCCACTCTAACTCAGGACTCGCTCCTTTAGTGTCACAGCTGATGCTAATCTAAAGGCTGCACTAGATTCCCACCCAAATCTCTAGGAGCTACGGCCTGAAAAATTATATTTTTAATAAATGTCCCCATGTGAGTATGTCTGGAAAAAAAACTGGTAAAAAAGCCAAACTCCCCTTGCTTAAAATGTATAACCTCTTTGTCTCCAATGTGCCTTTCCAATTTCATCTATTCATTTCCCACCCTCAGTTCACCAGATAAAAACTATGTTCGTTCCTTGCCTACAAAATGCCCTTTCAACCCCTTGTCCAACTTACTCATCCATCAGGTTGCACCTTAAATACTATTCTCAGATTGCCAGTCCCTTGAAAGTAATTTCTCCTCTAAACTTCAGAGTTAAGTTTTCCTGCATTTCACGTAAGTTATATTTATCATGTTTCTGTATCCCTATACCGTGCCTTACCATCCCCTTACAAACTAACTCCTAGAAGGCAAAATGAACTTGCAAGGTTTGGTGTCAGGATTTGGTTTAGAAATTGGACTATATTGCTTTACAGAACGATCTGAATAAACTGGAGGCAAACTACTCTTCTGAACCAACTTCTTCACTTGTAAAGACCCATCACTTCTACCACTTAAGTCTTTGGAGACAATTTAATGTTAATACAGTCAGTGGGGTTAAGAGTAAGAGTCTCAATAAAACCTGGAGTAAATGCTGGTGTTGCCTCCTAAGAGCTATGTGAACTTAAGCAATAAGTCTTGGTTTCCTCACAAAAAGATGGTAACAAACACTTCCCTGATGAACTAGCAACAGTCTTTATCATAAAAGTGCTGCGCAAAAGTTACCATCATAAACTCCACTGCGTCCACTCCTGTCTAGGCCACTTTCACACCCGCAAGACCTAGCCCTCTACCTAAAACCCTCCTGCACCCAGCCTTCTGGTCGGAATGAGGTGTCATTTCATTAGCCTTCACCCAGAGAAACTGTTCCAAGCGTCCACCTCTTGCTGACTATTTTGTTATCCATCCTGCTGCAGTATTAGTTTCTAGCAACCAAAGGTTTCCCTGTCCTCCTCAAACCCCACTTTAAGGATCAAGCTAAAAACTGTCTTTCCTGATCGGTGACTTTTCTTGTCTACCACCTCTCACTATTCTCTGCTCCCGCCACACCAGGATATATACCTATTTTGTTCCTCTTTTTAAAAAAATCCTCACCCAAGGATATATTATTGATTTGAGACACACTTTCTACTCTCCATCTATCTTAATGTCGAAATAGTTTCTTACCTTCCTCCCCTACAAAACCAAGGTCATTTTAATTTCTACATCTAGCACAAAAGATGGCCCCAAATCCTGAAGAATCCTTTTGAACTAAGTCATTTATTATTTTGTACAGCCCCAATGATCCTTAGTCTAGGAAGGATCCTGAAGTAGGCAGCTTTCATTTAAATAAGTTATTTTTTCCACCAGTCTCCTAGTGATGATCAGCATGCAGTGTGACCGACAGACGCACACGCGTGTTTAAGAAAGCCCATGTGATTTTAGAGTCGTCTTTACCTGTCGCGGACACATTTAGCACACATGGATCCACCGTAGGCCCTGCTGACGTGTTTTTTCGTCTTAGACAACCTCATTAGAACTTTAGGTCTCACAGCACGCACCTGCACAAAGGAAATGTTGAGGTTACTTTATGATGCTTTTACAGGAACAGAAATTGTGCTCGATTTTTTTTAATAGGTTATAAGTGCGAACATTAAACTAGGTTACACCGGGAAATGGTGTCCTGGTTTATATAAGCGAATGGCATTTCAGTGTATCAGTCATTGGCTTTAAAAGAGAATCTACATGCTGGGCAGGTGTGGATTAGGGATGTTCAGAAATTCTCACCACTCCTGGTGGTGTCCTCTCCTCCACCGTTGCCATAACTTAAGAAATGAACGCTCAAAACCTCCACCGGTTAACTCACTCGTAACAAAAGGCGCACTTACTCCGCGCAGTCGGCCTGGGCACACGCCACACGCAGACTTGGGTGCCTTCCCAACCTTCTTGGTATAAAGGTAAACAATCCTGTTACCAGGGGTTCGGGACCTGGAACGGGAGAGAAGGGCGGGCGGCTCAGCACTGAGCCGAGGAAATGACAGCGGGCATGTTAACGTGTAGGAATACTTACAGCCTGGTCTTGTTGGAGGCTGTGTTGTAGGACAGCCTCCGCCGGTATGTCAAACGCTGGACCATGGTGAACACCTAGACTAAGGAGAACAGAGTAAAACTGCATCGCAGGAATGACTCACACCGTGAAAAAACAGAACGGCAGCACATACTTTATACCTTCCCCGCATTTACTCATATACACAGCAGCACCCGTAAGGAAGGTGCCGTATGGAAGGGGCCCCTTTTAAAAAGCTACTCATGCCGAAACCGGTTTGGCTCAGTGGATAGAGCGTCCGCCTGCGGACTGAGGGGTCCCGGGTTCGATTCCGGTCAAGGGCATGTACCTGGGTTGCGGGCATATCCCCAGTAGGAGATGTGCGGGAGGCAGCTGATCGATGTTTCTCTCTCATCGATGTTTCTAACTCTCTATCTCTCTCCCTTCCTCTCTGTAAAAAATCAATAAAATATATTTTTAAAAAAAAAAAAAAAAAGCTACTCATACTGGCCCGGCACATAGATGATGCTCAGGTTCAGTGTCCCGCCCGAAAGCAGCCCCGGGCAAGCGGAGTGCCGTTCACCACCAACTCTGGTTTTATAAGGAAGTCGTGTACACGAGTGACTTAATTTCCTAGTGAACGGCAAAGCATACGCAAGGCTTGAATCAACCTCATTTTTTTATCCCAAATTCCCGCAGCCACGCTGTCATCTGAGAACCGCCAGCAGTTCTCGCTCCGCGCTCCTCTGACATCACTCTGAACCGGACGGTCAGACCCCACACCGACACGGAGGGCCAATGCCAGTGTCCCCTCCGATCAGCCGCTGCTCGCGTTGGCATCTCCGAAACCACCGCAGAAAACTCCCTATAAACACGTTTTTCTCTTCCCTGCTACAGGCCTTGGGAAAGGAAATATTCTGAAACGACGACATGCCGGTCGTGCGCCCTCCCAAAGCCCGAGAACGCAGCAGGAGCGGTGTTAAAATGCCGGCGTAGGACGCGAAGATGCTCCGCTGTTTCCCAGAGTGTCCACTAGCGGGAATGCACCTCGTCTACCTCCAGACGCCGGCCTTCCAAGGCGGCACGTACCGGGCGGCGAGCTCCAACCACTCCCGGCTCCGGACGAGAGGTCCGGACCCAGGGGTGTCTGGAGCTAAACGCCGGGGCCTTGCACCACCAACCAGCCTTCCTCCGGGGCCCTTACCCCCACGACAGCTCAAAACACAGCGCCTGACAGACCCCGGATCCCGCAACTCCCCGGATGGCGGCCGATTGTAAAGGGAGTAACTACAGGGAGAACGAAAAAGCACCCATACCAGAAGTCACCGTCCCCGGAAGAGGAAAAGGGAAGCGCTTGCTAGTTCAAAGGTCAAATCGACTGCGCAGGACAGGAAGTTACGTCAACCAGGGGCGTGGTGGAGAGCGTGCCGCCCAGTTGTACGGATATTATGCAGCTTCCCTGCGTAGGCGGAGATGCTAAGCGCCGCCACGTTGTTGTACGGCAACCGGCGTGCCTCGGCTCCGTGGGCGCGGGGCGCGCTGCAGCTGTCCCCGACGCCGCCTCGCAAAGATCTTTTGGGAAGTGCTGCGGAAACGAATGCGAACGACAGAGGAGCTGCGAAGGGCAAAAGTGGCTCAAAATTAACATTTTTCGTTCCTACGGGCGCTGCCACACATTGAATCTAAAGAGGGCTAGCTCTGGACTTAGACCTGGGTTCGAATTCCAATTCTGACAGTAGGTGACTTTTGAGGAGTAACTAGCTTTTTATTTTAAGTTTAATTTATTTTTAATCCTCAACTGAGGATATGCTTTTCATTTATTTTAGAGCAATGGTTCTCAACCTTGGCTGCACATTAGGATCACCTGGGAATCTTTTTAAAATCCTGATTTCTGGGCCTCATCCTCCAGAAATTCTGTTTCTTTCTTACTAATGTTGTAGCCCCAACCCCATAACAAAGAAACAGAATTTCCGGAGGATGAGACCCAGAAATCAGGATTTTAAAAAGATTCCCAGGTGATTCTAATGTGCAGCCAAGGTTGAGAACCACTGTTCTAGAGAGAGGGAGAGAGAAACATGTGAGAGGGAAACGCCACCTGTTGCCTCAACAGGGATCAAGCCGGCAGCCTGGGTATCATACCCCGGACCCTTCCGTGCACAGGATGGGGGCCCAACCACTGAGCATAACGGCCAGGGCAAGGAGTTACTATCTTTAACTTTCCCTTCTCTTTCCTTGCCATTCAAAGCATGAGCTTCACAAATTGTCATTTTAACCCAGTATCTGCTGATTATTCGCTGTGTTGCTCTGGGCAAGTTCTTAGATCTCTAAAAGATACCAGTAACTACCTTGCAGAGTTATGTCATGACCGAAGGCATCATGAAGTCAAAGTACCTGGCACACGTCTTGTAGAAAGGAAGTGCTCAATAAATGGTGGCTAGTCTTATGCTTATATACACAGACCTGCTTGAGGGCTTCATATGGGTGGTAAAGTTTGAACTGGGTCTTGAAGATGAGCGGAAGAAAAATATCCTCTAAAAACGGTATGTCCCAAGTTTACAGGAAGTGCCTCTGTGTGTTTTGCTGAGAAGAGGTGTTTAGCTTTCACTGTATTGTCCGAAGGGGCTCATGGCCTCCAAATAAGTGAAGAACACTGCCCGGGCTCTATGGGAGAAGCATGCCGAAAAGGTCCTTTAAGCTTTTAGATAGGCTCCCTGGATGCTGAGAGTTGCACGATGGTATTTACTGGGGAGTGCTTTAAAAAAAAATGCACCCCTAAGGAAGGGAGGAAGGGAGGATCAGGGGACCCACAATGTGGTTGCAACTGAGGCTTCAGCTTTTCCAACAGGGACGTCTGGATTTAGGATGGCTCTTCATAGCTGTCCCAGACGGGCAAGGGAGCAGGCGTTTGTGCTCCCGCATCAGACCTTCCATGGCAACGTCCAGCGAGGAAGGCAGCTGTGAGCCAGCCGCACTCACCCACAGCGAGGATTTGAACAGAGCATCCTGGTAGTCACTCAAGTTCCCTTCCCGGTTTTCCAGTGCCGCCGTGGAGGCAGGAATGCAGGCAAGCGAGTGAGGGTAGATACCAGTGCGGCCTGTTAATGCCATCATGCTTCACCTCCCTGTCATCTTTGTCACCACACCAGATGGAAGGCTCTGGTTATGTTGAAGCATGGTAACCTCTATTTTGTAAAAACTGCTAGACATAGAAGGTCCTTTGTTCTGTGAATTAATTCTGCTATTATTGGCTTCTGTAAAACATGCTTACTCTAATAATAGGGGAAATAAGTTCAACTATCTGACCTTGCAAGCTGCTCCTTCTAGCTACCCACCGCCTATGCCAGGTGTCTGCTAGTTATCTACTAAGCTGTGCTGTGCTCAAGGTTACAAGCTTCCTGCAAAATATCTGCATAGGGCTCTTTGCAAAGCCTGCAAAAGGCCCAGAAACCCCATATTTGGGGGACAAAGACATATATTTGGGAAAATATAAAGGGAAAATTCCCTCCATGTTTTTTTTTTTTTTTTCATTTGAAAGAAGGTTTATTTATCAAACTAGAAGCCTGGTGCACAAAATTCATGCATGGGGTGGGGAGTCAGGTCCCTCAGCCTCCGGCCTGAGGCTCCTCCCCTCCCCTGCCAGGGCACGGATGCAGGGCTTGCGTTGCCAGGGCGATGCCGCCAGCATCCCGCCCTGGCCACTATGGGCGCCTCCATCTTTGTTGGGAGTGATGGTTAATTTACATATTACTCTTTTATTAAGATAGTAAGCAGAGAAAGAGGTAAAATATTCGGCTCAGTAATTAGCCCATGGTACCTCCATGTTTTTTGCTCAGATTTTGAGAGGCAACTCTGTTGAGCCCGCCGGCGTAGTAAAGACTCCTAATTAATTTGGCTTATTAAGGCGTCTTATGATCAGCTTGCTGATTTACAATATAACAATATCCTTGCCTTTGCTGACTCTCGAATAGCTGCTTCTCTCATGACCGAGTTGTGAGTGACTTCCCTCCTTTCCAGTCCTCCACTTTTTGTCCTCTGGAATTCCTTTCATCTCAGTACCAGGCATTGAGATGGAGGCTGGGTTAGGGAGCCAAATGTGTTTTTGTTTGTTTGTTTGTTTGTTATTTATTTATCATTGCTTTTTTAAAAGAATAGTTTATTGATTTTTAGAGAGGGAGGCAGGGAGAAGAGAGGAGCATCAATGTGAGAGCGTACTGTCTATCAGCTGCCTCCTACACGACCCCTACAGGTGATTGAGCCCGCAACCCGGGGCATGTACCCTGACCAGAATCCAACCAGCAACTTAGTGCATGGGACAATGCCCAACCAACTGAGACACACTGGCCAGGGCCAAATGTGGTTTTTGAATGAATGAACAAAAGCGTGTATTTACTTGCAATATATTCTCTATTTCTAGAGAGACTTTGCTGGGTAGATGAATACCACAGGAGATGGGAGCCCTTAATACACTATAACTTAGTTTACCTATCTTTCTGTGTTCCCCTCTACTCCAGTAGATAAGAACAGTGTTCTCACTATCACAGTGTTCCATTATTATACTTAACCCAATTCTGAAATGTGACTTTTCTTCTCTTTCTATCTGTATTTGCATTTTTTCTTGATCTCATTAAACATTTCAAAGAACCTCACTTGTTTTTATTAACCTTTCTCTCTTTTAGTTCTCTGTTCATTAGTTTCTGTGTACACTTACTAAATATTTTATAAATTTTTGTAAAATTGAAATAAGATGAACCTACCTCACATTTTTTTCTGGCTTGGACTGGGAAGCTTTGAGGTTTAAAATTCATTTATTTAAGGAATTTTCATAAAAGTTATTAATTTTAATGTGGTCAAATTTATCTTTTCTAAGTTGGTGCTTGCATCTCATTTTAAAAATTCCTTTCCTACTCTTAAGGTCTATAAGATATTCACCTATATTTTCTAATGATTTTAAGTCTCCTATTGACTCATTTAGGGTTGATTTTTATGTATAGAGTGAGTTAGACATAAATTTTCTTTCTTTCCATTTGCATAACCTTATTTTTTTCCAACTTCATTCACTATATAATCTCTCCTTCCCCTGCCAATCTGATATGTATTCAATCTCATACATGTATGGGTCTGTTTGTGGTACTCTGTTCTATTCCACTGTCTTTTCTTTATCAGTTCTACAATCTGAATTCTTTAGCAAATCTTAAATGCTGGAGGGGCAAATATGCACTCTTTCCTTCCTTTTCAGAAGGGAAATTCTTAACCTTTTTCTCTTCCAGATACATTTTAGAGTCAGCTATTCTGAGTTTTGTTTGTATTTTCATTGGATGTATGGATCATTTAGAGTAGAATTGACATTTTTATGATATGAAATTTTTATAAATATGAATATAAGCCTTCTTTAATACTTCTTAATAAAGCTTTATAATTTTTCTTTGAGATTTGCATGCATTTTGTTAGATTAATATCTAGGTACTTGACATTTTCTGATTCTATCATAAATGGTATTTAAACTATATATTTTTATTTTTATTTATACTTAAAATTAAATATTCTAGTATTTTGTTGCTGGTATATAGAAACACAATTGTATATTAATTTTACTTTTAGCCATCTTGATAAATTTTTCTATTATTTTTAGTAATTTGTGTGAAGATTCTTTGGATTTCCTGAGATTCGTTGGAAGCAGTGATATAAAATTTCATATATGGAATACATGCATAGCTCACTAAATTTTCACAGATTGAACACACCCAGATCAAGACAATTGTATCAGCCCTCCAAATATGTCCTCTTTATGCCTCCTTCCAGTTCCTTTCTCTTTTTCCAAGGCTAACCACTATTCTGACTTTTACCCATAGCTAAGTTTAGTCAATTTTTCTTCTCTATATAAATGAAAAATATTCTTTGCACGTGGTTTTATTTGCTCAAATGTATGTTTGTAAGATTCATTTGTATTATTTTTTATTCTTACTGCTCTGTAGATTTCCAATGAGCAAACATACTACTGTTCTCTTGAGGGACACTGGGCAGTTTCCAAGTTTTGGCTCATAGTGCTGCTACGAACATTGTAAAGCATGTATTTTGGTGAAGATAATGTATGCATTTCAGTTGGATATATATACCTAGAAGTGGAATTGATAGGTGATAGAGTATATGTGGTAGGCAGAAGGCAACAAATTTTAAGATGGCCCCCATGACTTCTGTCCCATGGGGATACTCTCATAATTCTGTGATATGGAAAAAGGGATTTTAAAGATGTAACTCAGGTTACCAATCAATTGACCACAAATGAAGCCAAAATTAAAATTAGGCTGAAGGAATGTTATGTGGACACCAACAGCTTCTACTGTGCTAAATATAAAATTCAAGGTTGGTGGTTATTTTTTTCCTTCAGTAC